GGAGAGAAAGAGAGAGAGAGAGAGAGAGAGAGAGAGAGAGAGAGTGAGAGGTAAAAACTGAAAATCTGATTTTTACCAAACTTTTCGAAATAATTACGGTTCCGCCATCGAGCTTATTTTGATCGCCAAAACTTCATTAAATCTCCGATTCAAGCCTACCGCCTGTCTACGGTTTCGTCTCAGTACCACCTATGCAACCAAACCACTCGTGGTCCCAAAATCTTCCCGGATATGAAAATGACCAAAATTACCCTTAACCCAAAAGTAAATTCATAATTTCTCTTAATTTAATTAAAATAGGAAATAATTGGAGTCGGGGTGTTACAGTAGAGTGCTTGCTCTTTGTGTGACTCATTCTCTTGCACTAGAAGGGCTCCAATTGATCTTTCTTGAGCCGCAATGTACAATATGAGTGGTTTGCCTAGAATAGGAGCTCCTAACAGTGGTGAACTTGATAGGTACTTCTTTATGCTTTCAAAGGCATTGTGACAAGCTTCATCCCAAACAAATAGAACATCTTTTTTCATAAAGCGATTGAATGGCTGACACTCCCTGCTAAGTTTGAGATGAATCGCCGAATAAACGTGAGGTGTCCTTGTAAACTTTTCAACTCACGTAAATTTCTTGGCTCGGGCATATCTCGGATGGCTTTAATCTTGGTATGATCTACTTCGATACCTCGATGTTTAACAATGAAACCAAGAAATTTACCTGACGTGACGTTGAAAGCACACTTTAAAGGGTTCATCTTGAATTGGTACTTCCCCAATCTGTTAAACACCATTCTCAAGTCTTTCAAGTGATCTTCTCTTCTTTTGGACTTGATCACCAAGTCATTAACTCAACATTCTTGTGAAGCATGTCGCCAAAGATATTTTGCATTGCACGTTGATAGGTCGCACCTGCATTCTTGAGGCCAAATGGCATCACCTTGTAACAGTAAATTCCTCTTGGAGTGCGGAAGGTGGTGAGTTCTTCGTCCTCTGGCGACACTCTTATTTGATTGTATACAGATGAACCATCCATGAAGGATAAGGCTTTGTGACCTGTGGTTGCATCGACCATGAGCTCAGTTATGAGCAATGGAAAGTCATCCTTCCGGCAAGCCTCGTTTAAGTCTCGGAAGTTGACACAAATACGAATTTGTCCAGTAATTTTCTTCTTCACCGGAACAATGTTCGCTATCCACGTCGGGTATTTCACCTCTCTAATAAATCCGGCGACGATCAACTTGTCGACTTTAGCTTTAATTTGACTTAGGAGCTCCGGACGGAAGCGACGTTGAGTTTGTTTGATTGGACGCGTTCTAGGTTTGACTGCAAGGTGATGAACCGCAACTTTTGGATCGAGGCCTGGCATTTCCTTATACGTCCAAGAAAAGACATCTTTATACTCAAGTATCAATTGATGGTATGATTATTCTTCACTAGGATTCAAAAGTGCACTAACGAAGATAGGTCTTGGGTCTTCATTTGTGCCCAAGTTGAGCTCTTTTCATTCATCAACAGTCGCTTGGCCCCCATCTTCTAATGCAGTAGGAGCATCATGAACCTTATCCTCAAAAGGTTCCTCTTCATCAAACTTTTTAATCGTAACGTGATGAACAACTAGAATCTCTGCTTCTTCATCGTCACTTTCATTTTGTTGACTCAAAGTTTTCCGAGTTTGTATGATTGTTCGTCGTTTCACTTTGAGTTGGTCACCTGAAGTTACGTCTAATGTTGAGAGACATTTCATACGTGACAGGATTAGGCTCTGGATTTCATTATCTTCCGTTGAATCAATACAAACTCCACTTTCCAACTCTCGCTAGCTTTTCTCTTTAGACAACTTGCTTAGGGCTCCGATTCTTTCTAGCGCTAATCTGTGTGAAGCTGGTTGGATTCTCCTTTGAGTCTTATGTCCAGATATCCTTTTGAACACATAAGGTCGTGATGTCGATTCTTTGATGCGGCTAAAAACTGAGATCCGCTGGGTAGGCTTGGCTAAACGATCGAACACTGAGGCTCTCTTAACAGCCTTTGGTTCTTCTTCCTCCTCAACCGCTTCGACACTAATGTGTTGAGCTTCTACTTTCTTTTCTTTTCTTTTCTTCTAGCAGAGATCTTGACAGGTACGACATAAGTAAAACCTAGGCCTGCTCTAGCTGAGTCAATTGTGTAACATTGCTCCTTCAACTTGTTTTGGGTTTCGCTAAGGCCATGCGTCCTTTCTCCTGTGACATCTGGATTAAGCTCTCCCAGCGAAGAAGATAAGCTGAAGTCATAACTTGCCTTTAACATGAGCTTATAAGCATTAGGGTCAAAACCTTCTTTCGTTTTTCTGACCGAAAGAGATTCGTGTCTTGTTGCCTCCTGTGATGGTGTGACGAACCATGGTACCGAAGATTTCGAAACGTTTGAATTACTCAACTTGGGTAAAGGTATGGTTGTCGACTCTTTCAAGAATTTCATGTCGCTTTCTCCCCATTTCCTTGGCTTTACTTCTTCTCCAAATGGGGATTGTCATTCTTTCTGTCAGGATGATGAGACATAACAAAGGATGGGAGTAGACACCTTCCGTGAATTTGTCGATGTTGATCCCATTTGTCCGGACAAAGTGCTTTTTGACTTCTTCGAACCCTTCTCTTCAGCGGGAGGGCACTTTGAATGCTCTTCTCTTCTTAGCATGGCTTTTCCTGTCGAGTAAACCTCAACGGGAATAACTTCAGATACCATGTCTTCATCCATGTAAAATTTGGCATCAGCGAAGTAAGACTCGGCTTCGGTAAATGGTTTGACATCACCTAGGATTTTCTTCACTCCACCTCTGTAAAATTTTAAACATTGATGTAAAGTCGAAGGCACTATCCCATTTTCAATCACCCACGGCCTTCCTAATAGAAGATTGTAGGAAATTTTGGCATCAATCACGTGAAATAAGGTGTTGGACCTTAAATCACCTATCACGATCAATTCTGATCATGCCCATGGCTCTTTGTCCTCCTTGATTGAAACCTTGAATCATGAGACGACTGCGAGACAATTCATCCATGGTGATGCCTAACTTCATCATCGTGGATTTAGGCATGATGTTTACTGCCGAACCTCCGTCCACAAGCATGCGACTAAGTTTTTGTTCTTGCACATACCCTGACATGAAAAGCGGACGATTATGTGGTTTAGACCCTGACAAGAGGTCTTCATCAGTGAATGTGATGGAAGCACACATCGCACATCAAATAGCATGGTCTTGAGACTCAGGCTCTAATTCTTCGGTCTTACTTATCTTATTTGGTTGGATATCGAGATCCATTAGTGCCTTTACCAATGCTACACGTATGGCTTCAGGGAGTTCCACCGTTTCTTCAATATTTGAATGTGATGGTGAATTTTTTGCCTGTGCTGAGGCCTTTTGCTCCTCATGAGTTTCAGATCTTCCTTATGAGGCATCGTCATCATCTACTTGATAGCAAGTTGTCATATGGACTGTCTCCGTTAGCCCTCTTACGAAGAACACTTTGGGAAAGTATTCTCCTAGCATAATTGGAGTTTGTGGCCCTTGGATTAGTGGTCCACCTTCTTGGTC